AATCTTGTGTTCTTTCCTTGTCCTATGCTGGTAGGTCTGTCAACAGTAACTCTACTAAGTGGTCTGTCCGTACATTTCTCTTCATTCTAGACATGCGCTGGTCGCTCATGGCAGCCAAATACACCATGGCTGAAAGGACTATACTTTCCATGGGACGCCCATGCCCGCTACGGGACAGGGAAGTCCGGGTGAGGGTGATCCCCTGCCCTCCATAAATGCTGACTTCATGAAGGAACATCTTGAGAAGCTGGATACCTTCAGGTCAGCTGGCCCTGACAATCTTCACCCCAGGGTACTCAAGGAGCTGGCAAGCATCATAGCCCAGCCTCTAGCACGGATCTTTGAAAACTCTTGGCGCTCTGGTGTAGTGCCCGAAGACTGGAAGAAGGCCAATGTGGTGCCTATCTTCAAGAAAGGGAGGAAAGTGGATCCGGCTAACTATAGGCCCATCAGCCTGACTTCTATCCCGGGGAAGATCTTAGAAAAGTTTATTAAAGAGGACATCCTTAATGGACTGGCTGACGTCAACATCTTAAGAGATAGCCAGCACGGGTTTGTTGCGGGTAGGTCTTGCTTGACCAATCTCATTTCCTTCTACGACCAGGTGACCTATCACCTGGACAAGGGAGAAGAGATTGATGTCATATATCTTGACTTCAAAAAAGCCTTCGATCTGGTGTCCCATGATCGCCTCTTGGAGAAACTGGCCAATTGTCGCCTGGGGTCCTCCACGATCCGCTGGCTGGAAAATTGGCTCCGGGGTCGGACCCAGAGGGTAGTAATCGATGGAAGTCACTCATCGTGGTGTCCTGTGACCAGTGGGGTCCCCCAAGGCTCTGTCCTTGGACCCATACTGTTCAACATCTTCATTAATGATGTGGACACTGGAGTCAGAAGCGATCAGAACTGGCCAAGTTCGCCGATGACACCAACCTCTGGGGCAAAGCATCCACACCAGAAGACAGGCAGGTTATCCAGGCTGACCTGGACAGGCTCAGCAAGTGGGCGGACGAGAATCTGATGGTGTTCAACGCCGATAAATAGTAAAGTGACCAAAACGCTGGCTTGCATCCATAGATGCTTCTCAAGCAAATCCCGGGACGTCATTCTCCCCTTGTACTCGGCCTTGGTGAGGCCGCAGCTGGAGTACTGCATCCAGTTTTGGGCTCCACAATTCAAAAAGGATGTGGAGAAGCTTGAGAGAGTCCAGAGAAGAGCCACGCACATGATCAGAGGTCAGGGAAGCAGACCCTACGATGACAGGCTGAGAGCCCTGGGACTCTTTAGCCTGGAAAAGCGCAGGTTCAGGGGTTATCTGATGGCCACCTATAAGTTTATCGGGGTGACCACCAGTATCTGGGGGAACATTTGTTCACCAGAGCGCCCCAAGGGATGACGACTAGGTCGAATGGTCATAAACTACTACAAGACCGTTTCAGGCTGGACATAAGGAAGAATTTCTTTACTGTCCAAGCCCCCAAGGTCTGGAACAGCCTGCCACCGGAGGTGGTTCAAGCGCCTACATTGAACACCTTCAAGAGCAAACTGGATGCTTATCTTGCTAGGATCCTATGACCCCAGCTGACTTCCTGCCCTTTGGGCAGGGGGCTGAACTCGATGATCTTCCAAGGTCCCTTCCAGCCCTAATGTCTATAAAATCTATGAATACTCTAAGCACCTCCAACATATAGGGTTCAGTCATCCTCTCCCAGACCTATATGAGGTACCTGGGCATGAAGGCTTGTGTGTTAAGGCTGCGCATAAAGCAGGTAGATAATTTAAAGGAGCCTTTACCAATACTAATGTTTCCTGGTCATAAAGCCAAGAGCAAGGATAAAGTCTGGCACTAGAGAAGCAAATTGCCTTCTTCCTTTCACTTACTGCACAGTCTCATAGCTTTCCATCACAAGGCAATGGAGTCAGAGGCTGCATCCACATGAGCATAGACATTTATTTCCCCCAGGACGAGAGGCATTGGCACACCTTATGCCACCGCTAGTTGTCCCTGGGGAACGCCTGTGCCACGCACCTTCTGGCACATGGCAGGTTTCCCCGTGAGGGCAGGGAAGGCTGAAGCCAAGACTGGGTTGGCCCAAGCAGCCTAACCTGGGGTCCTGAGGGCCTCCTGGGGCTGCAGCAGTGGTGTTCCTGCTGCTTGGAGCCTGGCCCACAGCTGAAGCACAGCTCTGGCTGGCCAGGCTCCAGTGGCATGCACTGCTCCAAGTACACTCCCCTGCTTTTCTTTTGCATGTTTTTTTTTTTACTTGGGAATCCCCTAGGGTCAAAACCTGCCCCTGCCCCCTCTCCCCCCATGCTGGTACCTTGCAGCATGTAGAGCAGCTGAATGTGTAGTATGTGGCACCACAGACAGGTCTGCAGCGCCACATACTGCATGGCGTCACCCATCTGGATGCGGCCATAAACTCTATTAGTAAGGACTATATGGATTTCTCTGTTGTTCTCAGAGTTGGGTAATAAACTGCTGAGCCATTTATAGACCTCAACCATTGCTTAAGAATACCAGTGCCACATCACTACAGATACAAATAAGCAGTAAGAATACAATGTGGTTTGCTATTCCAGCTACTGTGAAGCAAGGTATAGCTCAGCTGGTTTCATTCCAAGGGCAAGAGAAATGTTCAACTTATGCTCATTGTTCAAAGACTGAACAGCCAGAATGGTGCTTTTGGATGTAAATACTGGTGAATCTAAAGTCTGATCCAAAACACTAGAGCTGACTTGACTGGCTAGCGAAAGGTGACTGACCTTAATTCCTCTTCTGCCAGGTTTGAAGGGCAATTAAGAAACCGACTAGAGTACATGGGACCAGAAGAAAGGCAAAGCAGTGTTGGAAGATTTTTTTTCTTTTCTTCAGCTGTCAGAGTTGGGTCTCCTGGCATATTTATACTACTTGAACCTACTGACCTGCCTGGTATCTGCTAGAGCAGGAAAAACCAGCTAAGCTCCAAGCTAGTGTTGTATGCAGTCCTGACTCTGCTGCTGTTGTCTTCAATCAGTCAGATAGACAAGGTTTTGATTGTGAGGACATGAACCTCTCTCAAAGGAAAAGTACCAGTCTCTCACACTGGTGCCACCAGTGACTTGGTTCAAAGGAATCTTCATTTAACCTCCATGGAAGGAAACCCCTGAACAAGAGACCCAGTACAGTCCTATGAGGGCCATTATGAGCACAGAAATTTAGGGATGTCAGCAATAGCATCATTTCCTACACTCTATTTTAAACAACAGCTGCCTTGGATTCCTTTTCCTTGGGTAATAACTTCAATTAATTTATCAAATTAAAGTCTACCTGACCAATTTAAGTCTTAAATGATGTCTGTCCTCATCGACAAATCTCACATTTTGTCTTGCCAGAGGCAGCTGCCAAGTTGCTATTTTTAAAAGGGTTCTCTTTCTCTCCATAGCCATAGCACCACTTCAAGCCAGCTGCTGATGGGGAGAGGAAAAAGATGTGAATTTCAATTCAAAATAATCAGAAAAAAACCCTGGCTCTTGTTATCATTTTCATTTGAATAGGCATATGATGGCAAATGAATTCCAAGCTGTGAGTTGTGCTCAGGTCATGAGGGCATGGCTTGAAAGCTGTGAAAGACCGTGTGCTTAAATTTTTCCACATTAGTTTATCTTTTGTAAAGATGACATAGTAGCACATAGCACTTTTTAAGTCTCAAGGAAGGACAACAAAAATGGTTAGGGGGTTGGGGCACATGATTTATGAGCATAAGCTAGTCTGCAGAAGAGAAGACTGAGGGGGGATTTGATAGCAGCCTTTAACTACTGGGGGGGGGGGGGGGGTTCCAAAGAGGATGGGGCTGGACTGTTCTCAGTGGTGGCAGGTGACAAAACAAGGAGCAATGGTCTCAAGTTGCAGGAAGGAAAGTTTACGCTGGATATTAGGAAAAAAAACTCTCTCACTTGAGGGTGATAAAGTACTGGAATGGGTTACCTAGAGAGGTGGTGGAATCTCCATCCTTGGAGGTTTTTAAGACTCAACAAGACCCTGGCTGGAATGATTTAGTTGGGTATGGGCAGGGGGTTGGATTAGATATCCTCCTGAGGTCCCTTCCAACCCTCGTTTTCTATGTTTCTATGAATCTGATTGGAGACTTAGCAGGCCTTAATATTTCTGGTCTTGCTCAATGTTTCCCCACAAATACTTCTGTAAAAGGTAGATGTATTCAAGCAACAGTCTCATACTGGAAAAGGATCATATTGTTGCTTAACACAGCACTAAGAGCAAGGGGATCTGGACTCCATGCCCAGGCTTGCCAAATATGTCTTGTCTAACCCTGCATACATTATTACATACAGTTTTCCTATATGTAAAACAGGAAATTAAATATTACTTCACTTTTATAAGCATGTTGTAAATTCAGTGACTGTGAAGTGTTTTGGGCCCCTGGCTGCAAAGTGCTTTAAAGGCAGCACATATAATGAATAATGAATTATTTACACCAGAATTAAATATTGGACATCCAACATTGTAAAGAGAATGATTATTTGTTAAAGGAATTAATCCTTGTCTAAATTTAATATCCTATTCTATTTCATTTTAATTTTTACTCTTATTTTTTAATCTCATATTTTAGCCTCAAAGGGAGTGTCTACAGGTTCATTAATGCACTTTTGCTACTGTGCATTAAATGTAGTACCTCTAAGGTAAGGTACTAACTAAATGTTCATTAGGCTCCCCTAATGTACAGTAGCAAAAGTGCATGCTTTTACAGTGATACTTAATGTGCCATAGCCCAATTTCACTGTGTATTAGTGTGTTTTTTGCTGTGACGCTCTAATGCGCAGTAAGATAGCCTACTGCGCTTTAAAGCACATGTATAGACACACCCAAGAGGCTGATGGTACAGTATCTGCGAATGCAGATGAACAAGCTATTTTTTAACCATTTTGGGGGCTCAAGACAATGAAGTCAAACACATGGTGGCTTACTCTAAGTGTTACGAAGAATACAAAATAATACCTACCCTCTGCTTGAACTGCTATTGTAATTAAGGCAGAGATCTCTGTTGAGGATGCTGTAGTAATATTCACAATGTAGTTAGTGCCAGAATTCAGATCTAAACACACCTCTGGATTAGCTTCAGCTGTAGTAAAGTCAAATGTCATTTCATGTGAAAATTCCTTCTGAAACCATCTTTGTCCCAACACACGAAACTGTTTTGGGATAAGAAAATGAAACAAGATTACAAAATTAGCTCTTGGTTTCCAAAATATAGAAGGCTGATTCAATAAATCCACGGCAGCCCAATATAGCACTTAAACACATAATTAAATCCACCTCTATTCAGTAAAGCACTTAAGCTTGTGCCAATAGAACTCAATCATGAACTTCAGTATTTTGCAGAACTAAAGCCTCAACATAAGGAAAAAAGTGGAATCAGCAGCACAGGAGGGAATCAAGAAAGCAGCACTCAGAACACAACCATCATCAACTTATTACCACACCCACTATCCCATTCTGAAATATCTGTACTCTCTAAAGGCCTGAACTTCTGCCCAGAAAAAAAACCTGGCAAGATACTAGTATGTGGAAAATTATAAGAATTCTCCTGCAGACTTTACCTGAAAGAATAATTCAGGACACAACCACCTCTAACAACCCTCCTGCAGCAACTGAAGAAAGACAGAAACAATAATAAAACATCATACTGGACACCTCCCAGCAGACATAACCACACACTGCACTACAACATCAACTGTTTCAGGAAGAAAGCTAACATTGAAAGTCTCAACAAAAGCCAGGACAACAACAACCTCTCTCCCGCAGAGAGAAAGGCTGCACAGTTGCTAAAATCCAACAATGGAAAGTAATCAAATCAGCAGACAAAGGTGGAGCTATAGTCATCCTCAACCCTTCAAGACTACATCAATGAAGCCAGCAGACACCTCTCCAACACATAATACTATAATGAACTTGGAGAGGACCCCACAACAACTGGAACTGAAAAATATAATCAAATCTTTCCCATGCCAGCTTCAAGACAACCTCCTTTTAGTTATCCCCCACTTTCCCACCCCAGGAACTTTCTATATGTTCCCAAACTCCACAAGCTAGATAACCCAAGGCTGACCCATCATATCCAATTGAAGTACCCTACTAAAGAGCTATCAGGATTCATAGAAACTATTCTGAAACCACTTGTCACTACAGAATCAAGTTTTCTACAAGACACCACAGACTTCCTCAACAGAATACAGAACATCAACCACGTCCCTGAGAAGGCTATATTTGCAACCATAGATGCCACCAGCCTTTACAGTAACATCCCACATCATGAAGGCACAGATGCCTGTCTGAAATACTACAGAAACATGGAGTCCACTCAGATTTGCAACAACATGTTGCACAAAGCATCCACTTCATCCTCATCCACAACAACTTCACTTACAACAATTGTCACTTTTTCCAAACGATGGGCACAGCTATGGGCACAAAGATGGCCCCTCAATATGCCAGCCTCTTCAGAAGACACCTGGAGGAAAAGTTTTCTAGAAAGTGCACCAGCAAACCTGCACTATACCTATGTTACATAGATAATATTTTTATTATCTGGACTGAACACCTGGACTTACTTATTGACTTCCAGCACAGGTTTAACAACCATCAACCCTCAACTAAACTTTCTCTGGAATACTCCTACTCTAATACCAACTTTCTTGATTCCACAATCCATATCCAGGATCTCACCCTACAAACCACTAGGGCTGTGCAAAGCGTGCCCTATTCGATTCAGATTTGGCCCGAACTAGGGGACAGTGATTCGATTCATTGATTCAGATCACTGTCCCTGATTTGATTTGGCCAAATCCAAATCTGAAGACTCGATGCTGATTTGGCAAATCAGCGATTCGGACATAGACACAGCTTTCAAAGTTTTTTCTACATACCTTGAGATGGCAGGTGCAGCCCGTGATCGCTGCAATGCTGGGGCACATGAAGCATTCCACAGGGATGTGGGGGAGCCCTCCATGTGCTCAGTGGTGAACCCAGAAGTACTTCCCGTCCACTTCCAGGTTTGCTAGGGAACGCGTGGGGGGCAGTTGGCCACAGGGGGAGCCCGGGTGCCCCCCCAGACCAAGGAGGTACCAGTCACTGAGCCAGGGGGGCTCAGGGGGGCCCCCACGTGCGCTCCCCAGTGGACCCGGAAGTGGGCCGGAAATACTTCTGGTCCACTTCCAGGTCTGCTACTGAGCGCACTGGAGAGCCCTCCCACCCCATGCTTCTGTGGGATGCTCCATGTACCCCAGCATTGCAGCTATCACGAGCCCCTGCTACCTAGAGGTATGTGGAAAAAACATTTAAAGCTGTATCTATGTCCAAATCTCCGAATCTATTCAGAGGGTTCTGATCCGATTTGGAGAGATTAAAGGGTCCTCTGATTTGATTTGGATTAGGAGATTTGGCCACCAAGCCGGGCTGAATCTCTGCCAAATAGTCAGGGACCGAAGCTTCGCACAGACCTACAAACCACTATATACAGAAAACCCACAGACCACCATACCTATATCCACAAGACAAGCAATCACCCCAAGCACACCCCTGCAACTGCACACACCTGGTGGTCACCGACCACCCCACACTAGAACAGATCAGAAGAATCACCAAACAACTACAGCCTGTACTCAGCAAAGATAAGACCTTGACAGAAATATTCTCAGCTTCTCTGCTCCTGGCTTTCAAACAGCCCCCTAACTTTGCACAGCTCATCATCAGAAGTAAACTCTCCACTGCCCAACAAACATCAAGTGGGATGCAGCTTGGCCTTGGCAAGAAATACTTAACCTGTCAGCACATCTCCATTGGAACTACTATCAATAACCCCCATCAAAAAACCATCAGAAACCACAGCCTTTCCCAAAAATGTGCTATACCTGATCCAATGCACCAAGTGCCCTCATGGCAATTATGTGGGTGAAACTAAACAGCAACTATGCACCAAAATGAACAGAAAAAAATAGAAGGCAGAGACATATACACACCATTAGGAGCACATTTCTCACAGCACAACCACGCCCTCTTTGACCTCACTATCCTCATGCTCAAGGGAAATCTGCCAACATGTTTGAAAGGCCAATTTAGGAACAAAAAGTCATAAACTGGCAGGACACTAAGAACCAAGGATTAAACACTGATATCAGTTTAATGGCAGGTTATGTTTTATCCAATTCTTCAATTCTTCCTAGATACAAAAGGTGAGAATGACCACCCCCCTTTTAACAGGCCTTGATCTCCCAGTATTTAGCTTCTTCTGTTCTGTAAACTGTGGCTTCCAATACATGTGCTGGTTTGCAGTCTAATTAGAATGAGTCAGAGCAGGTTTGATTAATCAAATCTGCTTCATTTTCTAATTAGAATGCTCCATCATGGCCTCATTTGTCATGTGTATAAGCCCCCATTGGTTTAAAAATGGCCACTGGACCGCTTTATCTAAACCTCAGCTATTTTTAAACCCCCTGACAAAAAATATCTTGGATTCAAAAGCTTGTCTAAGTTGCTCCAATAAAAAATATCACCCTAAGAAATCCTCACCTCTCTCATAAAAATAATTAGAAAAGTGGAGCCCAGGGCTATATTACTGGTGCCCCTGAGCATTTCTGCAATAAAATATATAGCAAGTCACAAACTCCTTGCTTTCTAGGATTTAGTTGTACTATACCTGCTGTTAATTTCCCTATATTTATTTGTATTTTGCTTTCAATCTCCCTGTAGAGGCACCAACAATAAAATGGACAGGACAACCACAGATGCCAAGGGCACGTCCACACATGCAAACACATGTGCTTGCAGCAGCTCAAATAGAAGTGGTGCAAATTTGAGCCAGGGCTTTTTGCCTCAGCTCACATCCCTGGGCATGCACTTTGGTGTGGGGTAAATTGTGCCACCTGGGGCAAAATAATCCTGCCTGGTTCCTCCTGGATCTGCAGCCAGGGGGAGCTAGAGCCCAGGGTGAGCACCTGTCCTGGTCCCATCAGTACAAAAAGCTTCCCTGTCAAGTAGCTCAGGGCTACTCATGCTCAGGAGCTTCTGGGGCCCAGTCAATTGGTACTTGGGGACATTACCCCTTGTGCCAGATGGACTGCTGAAGTAGCCCTGAGAGTTCCCTGGACCCTCTACCCACTGCAGCAGTCTGGCAGTGGGGGCTGCTGCCTGGCTGTGACCTGGTGCACACCTGCCAGACCTGGATGGGGACTGCACAGCCAGTAGAGGCATCTGCCCCT